AAGAAGATGATACATACAAGAAGATTATTTATGATACTATTATTATTGCTTTGTCGATTAAATTAACGTAATTTTTTAGATATTTTTGAAAAAATTCTTATCTTAATTAAAAGAAAACTATCATATTTTGAGACTTTAAAAGTGATATTGAAAAAATAGAGAATATAGTAAAAGTAAAATAACCTAAATTTCTTATACTATATACTGAAACGAAACTAGCATCTCGAAATCGGAGAACAGCTTGGCTACTCTAGATTTTGACATAACTTTATTTGCAGTGTTTCGCAGTCACGAGTTAATTTAATTCATTCCGAACTGCCTTGAAAAGTAGGTCCGCGTCATTCGCCCGAGGCACATGTAAAGAAATATATTGCATAAACGCAATTATGTTTCTACATCCTTCATCATTTATAAACTTTATAATTATGATGATTTTACATTTTCTTTCGTAAGAATGTATTATTAGAATCAGTGAGTCGGAATGCGATTATTTTAGAAATTCATAATATTATTTTAATTAATTTTGAAAGTAATAAATAAGCATAAAATTTTAAATAAACTTTTTCATAAACATAATAAACGATTATAAATTTTTTTGTCGATTATCTTACGAAGCGATTATTTTGTAAATATTGTTATTCCTATTATTACTGAATTTCTTCTTACATTTTTGGAATACAGTGATAGATAAAAAATGAATAGATAAATGAAATCCAAATTGTATTACAGATAAAAGGAAATAGACATGTCTTGCTAAATTTAAAGTCATTCTTTAGTCTTACTACGTCATGATTGCTATATTTTATGTGCATCTCAAGTGAGTCAACAAGGAATTTAAATTTCAAAATTCTCTCACGGTCCGACATCGTACTACCAACCTTCGCACGTAATGTCAAAGTTTCAACAGAACGCATTATTAAAATAATCTAAAGTGTAATATTAAATTCGATAATCTTAATCTTCAGAAAACATTTATATTGGAAAAGATTAAAGAATCATGTGGCAATTTTTTATTTTATCAATTGTGTATAAAAGTAGAAATGTACCTTCTTGACGATTGATAAATCTCATTACATATCACCGATAAAATGATAATAAATGATTAAGTGCTGTTGCGAAAAGATGGCTTGATTGAGACAATCTTGTTTTACTAGTCGGCAGAAATGCATCTCTTCCGAATAAACTGGATAACGAAATTATTAACTTAAACAAAAAAAAAAAGGTAACATAAATATTAGAAGTAATGAAATAAAACAAAACAATCGGATTCAAAATAATCTTGCAATCATTTTTAAATTCGACAGTTAAGTATCGTAAACATCGATCAAATCATTGCGCATTATAGAGATCTTCAACCTCTAATTGATGGAAAATCAAGTAGATAGATTGCATGTAATGAAACCGATTGCTTTCATTGAAATCAATTGGAAGTCGTCTATAAAAATAGAAGCACGAGGAAACATATTACATCGCTATTCAAGAATATACTGTGTACTCATCGGCACTCTCTATTGCCTAGTAGTTCATTGATTTACCAGTCATCGTTATCATGAGACTTATAACACAATACGAGTATCTTTGCATGCATAATTTGTGCGTGTTGTCCACTGTTTTTACTTGTGCATAATAACAACCGAATTTCTCTAAATTTTATAATTTGATAATAATAAATAAATTATTATTGTTATTTTAATATTTTGTGAATATTTTCCTATTTCTTCTAAGGTCTTTCGTGAAATAATACGTATCTTTAACATATCTTTTTCTTTCATAATTTTTAAGAGACTGAGTCTTACTTTTTGCATTATTCTGTTCCTATAGTTGTCTAAAATCTTTGGGGTGGAATTTAATTCTAAAGAGTGACAATCGAACCAGTATTGAAAGAAGAGTGGCTCAATCGTTAATTTTTTAGAGTGAGAGTTTACTCTTTAGAATTAGATTCTACTTCGAAGATTTTGCTTTTTGCATCATTGTACGTCATCTTGAACGTCACATTTCCACGTAAATTATAATATATTATGTATATAATAATAACTATAGTAAAAACACAATAATGTACAATATATGTAACTATAGGTCTGTTATTTTTACCCGAACTTCTTGCACGACTCATCTTCTCTCATGTTGAAGAAAAAAGAAAAGAAAAATGAATCGTACAAAAAGTTTAGCTAAAAAGAACAGGCCTTATAATAATACGTAATATCCCGGTGATACTCGAGATCGGATTAGTTCGCAGACAGATGCCTCGTTGATTTTAATCGCGTTGGTGCTTCTAACGGTCGCTGGAATTTCTCTGTTGTGGAAATAGTGTTTGTATGAATTGCAAGAGATTTAGCTAAGTTTAGCAACGTATATTGCATACATTGTGATGTATAAGAATGGAACTGAGTCATGAAAATCATTATGCAATACGCCATATTCTCCAAATATACATTACACATGCATTGCACTTGTGTAAATAGAATCTACACGCGATTTTTAATTGTAAATAAAATATTCAAATAACAGCAAATTCTCACGCAGGAGAATGTACGATTATGTAATCAGATTCACTGATAAAGAAAACTTTATTACTTGTGTTTATGATACTTATTCTATAGCATAATGATCCACGACTATCAAAATTTGATAAATACTTATTTTTATATTCAATAGATTGCCGAAGAATGTGCTGAAAAATTAAAGTAGAAAAAATTATATTATTTGTTAATAAGCATATTTTATAATAATTTCAAAATGGCGTTTGTAATCATTTAGATATAAGAATATCTACTTAGATAAAAATCCTTACTACGTATCAATGATTAAATTATCTTCAACATACAGATTCATATTTAAAATCATTATGTTTATGTTTGCTATGTCATTTTAATTGGTTGTTATTATAGCTAAATACTTAACACAAGCTAAATAGTTGATTTTGAAAATTCCATATAATTTTCTACCTGCACTCTCAATTAAATATATTCTTGAAATAATGAAGGAATTGAATTTTTTTATGGAAAATGATTAGATGATCGATTTATCTATCTTCGAGGCACTCCATAATTGCCTCGTAAGCATTTACGTTTGCCTGATTGCACGTGGTACGCACATGCAAGGCAAATCCAACGCTCAGTAGAGGTTTCGCTGGTGAAGCGGCAAGACTGTCGAAAGAGATCGGCAAGAAACCTGCTGGCACTCATAGTCAGTGACTTTTTTCGTGTCAGTTCCTGTGCGACTTGTTTGTAAAACTATGAATTCTGTGATGAAAACCATGAATACTTTATCGAGTAAGTTAAAAAAAAAGTTTTTATATAACTTCAGCGGATTCATAGATCGCTATTATTTATTTCGTGTAAATTCAAACTAAACTATATATACGTGTCGTATTTCTATCCGAAAAAGTGATGACTTCAAAATACTACGCGGTTAATTACTAATCGTATATTTTGATCAATGATATATCCAGAATATCTTAATAAATCATTGTTAGCAAAATTTATTATTTTTCTAAATATACAGAAAGCTAATAATTTAAAATATTTGTAAACTTATAATTAAAAAATAATAATTAAATGATAATTATCTCTTTTTATCATATTTTAAGTAATAATGACATAAATAATATTATGTATTCCGTTACAGATGTGTGTGATTATAAGTGTGAAAAATACATAAAATGTGTGATCTCTAAACTTTTGTATGCATCAAACATGCTAAATAGCATAATAGAATATTTTTTAAAATATAATATAGAAAAATTAATTCACTTTTCTAAAAACAAATGCGTTGATGTAAAAGATGACTGTATTAAAAAATAAAAATGATTGTTTTATTTTAAACTTTTTTCATATATTTGGATTTAAAATTTTTGAACTTTATATTTGTACATCTTTCTCTCTCGTGTTTTTAGTTTCTGTCGTTTCCTTTTTTGTTTTTACATATCAAGTCTTATTTAAATTTTAAATAATCGTTTTAATAGTAAAAAATTGTGCATAGATGTTGTAACACACATGATAACCTTTTCCAAAAATTAATTGGAAAACTTATTTTTATTCTTATATTTAAATAAGTTGTTTTAGTGTCTGTAAAATCTTGTAGTTACCTTTGAACGATGTCAAATTGTACAAAAGAATTCATAACTAATTATGTACATGTAAAACGATTTTTTCACGAGCATAAGGCATAATGATATATTCAAATTTTAAAATGTAAACACAAGAATGTAAAGACAGGATTTCTCTCTTTGAAGCTTTTGTAGGATACATTGGATATATAATATTACCGTGTGTGTTGTGCAGGAAATTTTATCATGATTGTGCAAAATATAAAATTTATCTGATTTATAAAAAATTCAGTTGTTGATATTTTATATGAAAGAAAAACCACAGTTTCTTTACACTCCGAAAGTTGAAGATTTTCTACATTTCTATATTAAACGTGAATATTTCTATATAATTAAGGGTTAGAAAAGTTATTTTATATGTTACTTTACAAGTTATTTTATAAGTAACTTGTAAAGTAACTTATAATTATTATTTTTTCAACCCTGTTAGTTTATTGTCCCAAGATGTCTCTGTATAATTTCAAGGAGGTTATAAATCATCATTATTTATTTTGTTTACCGGATAAGTTATTATATAAAATTTTTGTAAAATATTATTAATAAATTATCAAAAATTCTAATGACATTGATTTATACTATATGTGATTATTGCGATCATTAACGATCAAGGAATTTCAAATGAGAATACAACAAAGATAGTATTTCAATTACGTTGAACTTGGTGAATATTTTTAACGTTAGGTAATATTAAAGTAATAACATGATTTTACTTCGAAGTTTTTAATTACTTTTATTGCATTATAATTACATAAACTGTTGTCTTTTATATTAGAGAGTTAATATTATAAAATAAATTTTATTTCTAAAATAATTGATTATATAATTATAAGAATTATGTTCTATTTTTTGTAAATATAGAGATAGATATAGTCTTACAAATACAGAGATAGATATATGCTTACAAATATTTAAATAATTACATGTGATGTTGTTTTAACATAAAATTTGATTTTGCAAATAGAAAGACGTAAAAAGCATCATACATTTGCAAATTTTAAAAGTAACTTTTTTTATTTTAATAATGGATTCATCAAGTATGTTGCATTATATTAATCTTTTCAAACTTTGTGTATTTGTAAATTGTAAATTCAGAAAAATAAATTCAAAAAAAGTGACTTGTCAATAATTATAACTTATTCATATGTAAAAACGTGTAACAAATTTATTATATGTGATTAAAAAAGAAAAATACTGATTACTGAAAAAGTGATATACAATGAAACTTTTGGATAATTCATTTAGATAGGCATTTAGAATATTGATAAAATGCATTATAAATATTGCAAAATAATACAGAGAGGTATTGAAATCTTGTAAAAGAATTCCTTAAGAATTCCCGGATTTTTTCAACATTTTTGTTCAAAATTGCAGGTAAAATTGAAGAACTTTTTAATACAGTTTTGAAATAAATTAGAGTGCAAGTAACGCAAAAATAAATTATATATTGAAAATTAGTAGAAGACAACGATTCTACGAGACTATATTCATCGTTTTTCACAATCGAAGTCGCGAAACTCTTAGGGGGTTGCACAACACAATCAAAGGAATGCTAGGGAATAGGGAACAGAGAATTATAAGAATTTTTTTCTATCTAGAAACTATATATTGCGGGATATATTCAGTTTCTGATAGATTAAAATTCTTATTTTCTATTCTCTGTTCCTTTGATTATCCGCAGCCCCTTAGATAGTGATAGGGAAGGCTCACTGTATGAAATAATTTTATTGAATATTGTCTTTTATGATCATCTTGATTTTTTTAGAAACTCATAAAACACTCGAGTATTAATATGAATATATGTGTATGCCGTACTTATTGTCAACATTTTGCATTATAAAAAAATGATTAAAAAAAAATGTTTTCAGAAAGAAACAAAGTTTAAATTAAGAGCAAAATTCCAAAAATTTCCCTGACATCCATAAAATCCCATATTCCTTATATATTTCAAGGGTAAAAAAGAAATGAAAATTCTAAATAGTAAATTCCTGTTAAATTAAATAAAACTATAATGTCACTCAATGGAGACTAATGTCAACCGTAGGAGCGTCAACGGAGGAGAGCCTGCAGTATATCAGGCAATCCCTGAAATCAGAAGAAATGGATCATCTGGAAGGAACTCATTTTGATAGGCTCATTCCGCACGTGTTTGTTACCTTTGGAGCGTCTGTGAGTTTATACTTTTGAAAGAAAATATAAAATATAATAAATTAAAGTTATAAACTAATTGCAACTAAATCTATGTTCCACTTGATGCTTGCAAAGCTTTTGGAATCATTTCATCCTTATTATTTATTCATTTGGGAATAATAAATTCAAATATCTCAATTTATATATAACACAACAGTTTAATTTATTAGGGCCTAAGCATAAAGATGGTCGTAATTGAGTCATGAAATGTAAATCGTAGTTGTATTTGTAAGTTGATCAAACGTGCGTTGATGACCTACGACTACAACTCACGTTTTATGATTCAGTTACGCTATCTTTGCGATGAGTCTTTATTCATCGAAGATATATCATTTTTTTTGTGAGTTAAATTTATTGACTGATAATGAGTTCACTCGTGTTTAAACCTAGTTAAAAATTAAATTATCATGCAAAGGTGTTAGAGTTTAAATTGATAAAGTTTTCATTATGGGATTTATATTTATCCTCACTTGTTATTGTTTTTTCTGATCTCTCTCTTTTGTGCATTATAAATGAAATTTTATCCCCATTGAATTTCCTAAAATATAAATATAAAAAATAGTCAATTAAAGGCGTTAGTTTTTGCATAAAACGCTCAATCAACAATCAATAAAGTATTAATTTTTGTGCATTATTCAGTATTGTAAAAGTAGTTTTTAACAATTTCTCAATAATTATGTTTGCTTTAGTTAGGAACATAATTGCTGTATCAGAATTTTCAATTATATCAAATCGAAATTTTCTTTTTTCGGATATTAAAATTCAATTGTAATTTTTCGGAGATTAACTGTGTAATAATTAATGAGCATACATTAATTTTTGTTTAGCAAATTTTATTTTCAATTTTTAATTTAAATATTACATTTGTTGATGATGAAAAGGGTGATCTTGCCAAGAAGAAAATTTATCCGACTCTTTGGTGGCTCTTCAGAGACAATCTTTTGCCGAAACCAACCACTTTCGTCGGCTACGCTAGAAGTAAATTGACAATACAACAATTACGTGAGAAATGTCATCCATACATGAAAGTGAAGTCAAACGAGGAGGAGAAGTATGAAGAATTTTGGAAGTTAAATCATTACATCGCTGGTTCTTACGATCAAAAGAAAGACTTTGAACAACTGAATCGTAAATTAGAAAATTTTGAGGAAGGGAACACTGCGCACAGGCTATTTTATTTGGCGTTACCACCGAACGTGTACGAAAGCGTTACGACACGCATTCGACTTACCTGTATGGGAGATAAGTAAGCACGAATTTTAAATATATAATTTCACGAAATAAATTTTCTATTTAAAACAAGATAATTAATAAGCAAGCAATAAGAATCAAAAAGAGAAAAGATAAATTAAAATTATATTTCCAAAGTTCCAAATTATTTCATTGATAAATATATGGAATGTACATACCTAATAATGTATATTTAGTAGAATAATCTAAAACAGAAAAAGATTTAAATTATTCTACTAAAAATATGTTATTAGATATAAATATAATTAGGTATAAATTATATATAGTATGTATATAAAATATATCAAATTTCAGAGGATGGACGAGAATTATAATCGAGAAACCATTCGGTCGTGATGCCGCCTCGTCGCAGAAACTCTCCGATCACTTGGCGACGCTATTCAGCGAGGATCAAATCTACCGTATCGATCACTATCTCGGCAAAGAGATGGTGCAGAATCTGATGACCTTAAGATTTGGAAACAGAGTGTTCAACCCAACATGGAACCGAGACAATGTAGCCTCGGTGCAAATCACATTCAAAGAACCATTCGGCACTCAGGGTCGAGGCGGCTATTTCGACGAGTTTGGCATCATCAGAGATGTGATGCAGAACCACCTGGTGCAAATTTTGTCCTTGGTAGCCATGGAAAAACCTGCGTCTTGCCATCCGGATGATATCAGAGACGAGAAGGTGAAGGTTCTCAGATGTATCAAAAACGTGCAGCTTGATCAGGTAGTTCTCGGTCAATACGTCGGAGATACAGATGCTGAGGATCCGGAGGCACGTTTGGGCTACTTGGATGATACCACAGTACCAGTCGGTTCAAACACGCCGACATTCGCGTTCGCAGTACTAAAGATAAACAATGAGAGGTGGGACGGCGTACCGTTCATCCTGAGATGTGGAAAAGGTAAGAAGATTGAAGAAAGTTAATTTCTCGACAAATAAAGCCTCTTTCTTTAATCATGTTATGTCGTAGCGCTAAACGAAAGGAAAGCAGAAGTAAGAGTACAGTACCAAGATGTACCGGGTGATATTTTTGATGGAAAGGCAAAGAGAAATGAATTAGTGATAAGAGTGCAACCAGGCGAAGCGTTGTACATTAAAATGATGACAAAATCACCTGGCATAACGTTCGACATGGAAGAAACTGAATTGGATTTCACTTATGGTAGTAGATACAAAGTAAGTGACTTTAGTGATAGAAGAATTTGTTAAATTAAAATCGAAATATGTAAGTATATTATGCTCTCATTGCACATGTTATTTCATCTCTCCAGGGCCTTAAATTACCGGATGCCTATGAGAGATTAATTTTAGATGTCTTTTGCGGTTCGCAAATGCATTTCGTGCGAAACGACGAGTTGCACGAAGCATGGCGGATATTCACGCCGCTGCTTCATCAAATCGAAAAAGAAAAAATTCTACCAGTTCCATATAAGTATGTAGCGCGAAGTGTAAATATTTTTAATACGTACAAAATATATTATTTGTGAAAAATTTTAGGTATGGCTCCCGAGGACCGAAAGAAGCCGATGAAATGGCGAAGAAACATAACTTCGCGTATTATGGTTCATATAAATGGGTGAAACCGTGAATCAATGTCGGTGATGAAATTTATCACGCAAAGTACAAATTCGAAGATGTCTAGAAAGTTTTAAAATAATATTATCACTGACTGTCACATTCCAAAAATTTTGATAAACCGTTATACAATATATGTAATATTTTTATACAATTTTATATGTAATATTTATATGTATAGATTTGTATGTATCATTTCTTTCCGTTTTATTGAAAATGTCTATATATTTGATTTTATATGTACGACAATACAAGGTTTGTTCTGGTGTCGCTGAGCTTTCTATATTAATACTTAGTATACATTGAAGTAAGCGGTATTTAATAAAGCAATAACGTTCATTCTCTGTAATCTTTAGATGATCTTTGTATTCTCTGTATCTTTATATCAGATCTTCAAATTTGCAAGACCTGACAATAAGCGGAAATGCGGATTTGGAAATTTGTAATACTATTAAAATTAAAGCAGTAATATTCTAACTTTATAAAAATGTGTTTACAAAATAATATACGTGCGCGCGTATAAATATATATACACAAACATATATTGTATATATATATATACACTTCCGGTTTCATTAATTTGAATATTACTGTTTTAGTTTTTATTAGACTATGTATATTATAAAGTATATATATAATAAAATTAATATTGTAATTATCAAGTAACATTTTCTGTATAATTTTATATTGATATATTTTTTAAATTATCCTAAAAGCTGGATGCAAGTTCAGTTTTGGAATTTATTACAGCTTGAAAAGTCATTTGAAGTTATATGTATAAAAGTTATATGTTATTGTCCTAAGATTTTTATTTTATTTAGTTACAAATTTATCATATTAAATTATGTACTATTATCATCATTTTTTAGTCAAAATTAATTACAATGATTAAATTTCATTTTTCATTCTCGTGAATAAAACGAAATTTTTTCTTTATTTGAGGAATCAAATTATATTAAATTATAAGTCAATTTAATTGTATGACGTTTAAAACTGTTTAACTATTATATTGGATATTCGCATTTTTTATATTCCATCCTGCACTCTTACACAATCAAATTCTGCACTGAACTTGTCGATGCAAGAGCAAATTCAGCCACAAAGAACGAACCTATTACAGAACATTGTTCCATCTAATATTAAGGCTATCTCAAGATCAAGCTTGCGAGGGAATGTGAATCAGTCTTCCTATTTAGATCAGTTTTATTAAATCTTGACAATCGAAACATATGTATGATACCAATCCTGGCATTCTGTACAAGTGTATTTGATAACATAAATTATACAGCACTAGAGATCTGTGTGAGATTATTCAAATGTGTAACTTACGTTAAATAAATAAGAGAAAGTTGACTTACTGCATGTGTATATATCTATATTGTGAAAAACTTTATTCTAAATGTACCAGGTAAGCGGTAGCCGATCATCTTGCATTAAGATACAACACTAAATTTTGCAACTCAACTTAATTCTGCTATTCAACTCCCTCTTAAGATCAGCTATACATGGATATATATATATAGATACAAATTAATATCATGATTAATGATGAACTAAAGATGTATACATATCCATATACAAATATATATATATATATGTATGTATTGGTTCGATTAAGTGGTCAGCAGACGATAACATATAGCACATGAACGACTTTGAGCGGTTTGTTTGCGAACTCGTTATTTATAGCACTCTCTCATGTATGGTTGATGTTGTTATTGCTTTCTCTTTTTTCACTTAAGTACATATATAACACATTAATCTTATTCATTATTTACAATGCAAAAGACATAGGTGTTCTGCGAGAATAAAATAAATTATTACGCAATGTATATATATATATATATATATAT